GGTTTTGCGATACAACTACCTTAAAGGAGATGCAACAAGGACACTGATGCATGTATGTAAAAATTTTTTGTTTGAAGGTGCCATGTGTGTTAAGAAAAACCCGCGCGTGAGGGATCCTGGTCCGACGCAGGTAAGTCCACCATCCCAGGGGTGATAACTCTCATACCTCCCTAGGCCTAAGTATGAGAGCTTTCCGACATTAACGAGGACTATGTCAACTCGTCGTCGGACACACTGCGGCTTCATCCTTACACCCTCACGCCTGTGAAGAAAGGCAATGAATTATCGGTGCAAGAGTGCAGTTATTCTAGTAAGATTAGTTACACCGCTGGAGAAGTTGGCAGTATTGTTGCCGATCTCCCTTATGCTCGTAATCGATAAGTTTCGGAACGCAGCTCTCTCTGTCTCGCGCCATTCCATGTGGAACGTGTGTTTATTTTATCCTCTGTACTAATAAAGATTCGTACAATTATACCACTGCGTACTGGTTTATTTCGGTTAAACCTAACAACGCCCACCTGCAAGGCAGCGCGCCTTCGCTGGCATCGTTACCTCAACAAACCTGAGAACGAATCATTCTACACATCCCCTTTCGGGGCAGTTGTCATCGTTACAGTATCTGTCAAGGCAGCAGGATTTTATGCTAAAAAAATGACTAACAAGTTCTATGTACCCAACGCTGAATACAAAAGTTTATATCAGGGTCAGTTTTCGGTTTTTTCAATCATTTTTTTGAGGTTAGGAATGCGGCCTGGCCGAGTCAAACTAACCCCAAATTTGGTCTCAGCGACCCTAAAAACATATAATCGCTTTCCTTTCTGGGCATTTCAATAAATGTTTCAACTTTCATCACTTTTTTGAGGTTAGAAACAAAATGCAATCTGACCGAGTCAAACCGACTCCGGATTCGGATTCAGCGACCCCAAAAACGTATAGAAATGTATGTCTCGTCTGGTGGACAAAACCTTTTTTTTTTCGTGTGCCTGTGTTATCAACAATATTAGAAGAGTAACGAAAATTAATTTTATTAAGTATTCAAAGCAATTGAGAGTTTTTAGCATTAAGTATTTCCATTTTCTCATAATATGCTTAAAAAATATTGCAGGGGACTTGTGAGTTATGCGAACCAATTGATACTATTAAGGTTCATTGATCATATGAAGTTTGCACACGTCAAGCTTGATATCCTAAAGATCACAATTCATTCTGAAAACGATACCGTGCAGGTTCGTTGGCGTATACGTGGTGTCGTCACAGGCTGGAAGGTATTTTCTATGTTTTGGAAGTAAAATTTGGAAAATACAACATGTCATAAAATAAGCGCTAACCAGGAAATGTAAGTGTAATCAGTGCTCTGAAACATTCCTTTTAATAGTAATATAAAATTGTTCTTATAAACATTAATTATAATTAATTCAAGTTGTCTATTATTTGAAAAGAACTTGATTTTTAGTTTTGTTTTTTATTCTACTTTAAGAAAAAGATAAAATAATTTAGATTTCCTAAAATTAATTTTGTTTATGCTATCGGAGAGGAAACACTTATTATAAAATTGATTATAATACCGAGACAATTATATATAACGATTTCAGGTGGTACGACGGCTTTTTTACGTTAATGCTGAATGGAAAAGTCTATAAGCATATTGCGGACAAGATGATGCCTAATCAGGATACAGCCACAAAAAAGAAAGATATGCGCATGGCAAGGAAATTAGCGCTATTCACAGGCCTTGTAAGCATATTTAGTAACAACGAGGATTCTTTGAATTGAGCTCTGTCTTAAAATCGCATCAATTGAAGTGAATCCACTGCTGAGTGCTGAAATTATACGATTTTATCCGTCACAACGAATAGACCAAGATGAGGAATGCTTTTTCCAGTCGATGGTTTCGAATGTTGCTGACGTATCTATTTCGTTGCAAATGCATCATTATAAAATGATGATCGGTAGTAAATGAGAGATATGTGAATTAAAAAGATGTGTACATTAACTAAACAGTATATATTTGTATGATTACAAACTATCTTCATCTAATTTTTTAGTGACAATATTTCTGTGTAAAAAAAAAATCATGCGTGTGGTCGCCACGCGCGTTAGAAGTGAAACTTCTGAAGGCAAGGCTTTGCCATAACTTTTCTGAAATTAATACAAAAACAATGCAACGGAATTAGTCACTCCAAGCCGCCCGCAACTCTAAAATATAGTGTTACACGCAGTTTTCACTATATCCGTCTCGCCAATGCCGTACGCCTGATCAAATTTTCGTGACGCGTTTAATTTCGAGTCGCAAAATCGAATTTACTTACCGATGCAAAAAAAGGTTTACTTTGTACGCATGTGGATCGAATTTTCGTGACACTATTTCGTGACGTTTTTTCGTGTCGCACAATCGAACTTACTACCGTACCAAAGAAGTTTCATTTCGTACGCTTATATATATATATTGGTCGAATTTTCGTTACACTTTTCGTGTCGCATAATCAAATTTACTACCGTGCCAGAAGAAGAACCGTCTCGCCAACTCCGTACGCCTATTGGTCAAATTTTCGTTACACTTTCCGTGTCGCACAATCGAACTTACTACCGTACCAAAGAAGTTTCATTTTGTACGCCTATTGGTCGAATTTTCGTTACATTTTCCGTGTCGCATAATCGAACTTACTACCGTGCCAGAAGAAGAACCGTCTCGCCAACGCCGTACGCCGATTGGTCAAATTTTCGTTACAC